TACACGAAACCCCCGCTGGGGCTCTCGCCAACCCCGCCACCTCCGCACCCCCCGCTCCCCGATTGGCTGAAGCGAGCAGCCATTCGCATCCCGCGTTATTACGCCGCGCACTCATTGGCCACCCCCATGTGACCTCTCTCCTGTCCCCGCCCCGGGGCGTTGTAGGCTCTATGCTAATAACGGGGAGGAGCGAACTACATGTCCCAGAATGCACAGCGCCGGGGGACTAGCGCGACGGGCCACGTGGTCTCTCGGGAAACCGCGAACGGAGCGCTGCTCTCTTCCAGCTCTGGGCGGCTTGGGCTTAGCCTTTCGAGCTCTGTCCACGGCTGGGCCATTGCATGGTAGGATCTGCACTCCCTGAGCGCTTATTGGAGCATTGCATGCTGGGATCTGCAGTCTGTAGGCGTTTATTGGGCCGTTGCATGCTGGGATCTGTAGGCAGCCCTCTGGGTTTCACATCACTACGTAGCATTGCACAGGTATGATCTTTTTTTGCTGTGGGCCCCGGTGGCTGCTGATCTGCACAGACAAGGCTGAAAAAATGGAGAGTAAAGAGTATAGTGGGAAAAGGGAGGTTTCATCATAGCCTGCCACTACCGAGCATGCCGGAAGGATCTGACTCCTTTGCTTTAAGGTGATGAGGGCCATAAAGCTGCTTCTCCTTGGGGAAGATCTAAGTCTTGGTGTCAGCCCAGTTTCATAGGAAGCTGACAAACCCTTTTTTCAGAGGTAGGAATACACTAACAGGAGGGCACTGCACTGGTCACGCGTGCCCCTAGACACGTGGTAACTGCGTGGAATCTGTGTGCTTTGCAAGTGAGATGCAGAATAAGTTTAGCAGAACTTATTTTTATTTGTAAATGTGCCTGTTTTTCTTACAGTTCACTGTCAACTCAAAATGGTGATTATTTTTCAGATTAGAAATTGTATTTACTTGTTTGATCCTTTGTTTCTTTCGCATTTCTATTAGTATAAAAAAAATACCTTTTGGAGGAATTCTTCTACTTTTGGGGGGGGGGGGTTCAGTTACAGCTGTTGCAGGTGAACTACACCCCACCTCGCCTGCCAAAAAGCAACATTTTGCATTGTATTGGAGCTTTATTATTTCTGGAAACCTGGGTTTCATAACAAAAATTGCATTATCAGCATTTAAATATAACTCCAAATTTAAACACCTTCTTTAAATCCAGTGTTTTGCAAAGTTTGGAATGTGAATGTCTCTACCTTGAGAGAACGCAAGCGTCTTGTGCTATTTACGACTCACCTATTCAGATGTAAAAGGCAAGAATTTCTGACAGCAGGGGTAAGCAACCCCCAACATCGGGGCCAGAGTGTGGCACGCAAGGGCATTTTGCTTGGCATGTGCACCTCAGGGCAGACAGTGGGGAGGGGGCTAGGGCTGCGCTGCCACAAAAAGGATCGAGCCCCTTGCAGCTCCCCCACTGCCTGCCCCTGGCATGCCAACATCTTACAAGTTGAGGTTGCAGGTTTTTTGCTCAAAAAACATTGCTGACCCTTGTCTTACAGTGATGCCCTCAGACAAAGAATGCTTTGCATTTGAAAGCTTGTCTAACTGTATCTCGGCAACACAGGTTGTCTAATAAAATACATTACCATAAGACATTCTTGCCTCTGGCATAATTTCTGGACCGTCACAGCTGCAACATCACTCTTAAACAGTACCTATTCAAACATACGTATTGTTGTAATATTTGAGAGTATTTAATAAAATTATACTTTCTTGTATACAAGGAGAAAGGAAATAATTAATTATATTGACAAAAAGGTGTCATCAGTGACACTTCTTTTAATAAGAGGTAGTTGGTCCGGTTAAGTTTGAAGTCAGGCAGAAGGCAGGGTAGATTTGCACCTTATGGGTTAATTACATCAGAAATGTATAGCATAAGTTTTGGTAGTCAGAGATCTTACTTCAGAAGGAACAGCACTTGATGTAGGAAGCTCTCTGCCTATGAAAGTTTATGGTACTTACCTCTGACAGTCCAGAAGGGGTAAACTACCCTGCCTTCTCTTTCGGTTAACCCCCACTAAAGAAAGTAGAATAGGCCCTTTTTGAGGAGTTCAGGCTCTATGAAGTTCTCAGTGGGTGCCCCTACCACATTTACTGTGCAGTAAATATGGGCCATATGCTGACTTGAGCATAAATTTGATACCTGCATTATGCAGGTATAAAATTTATACCCAATTAGTTATTGCGCAGTAATGCACATATAGATACCATACTGCACAGTAACACTGTGTGTGTGGACTGACTTGGGGCTAACTTTAGTCCCAAGGTAATCCACACACGTGTTAATACACTTTAACACCTATATGTGTAGATGCTGGCCTATTGCTGCTTGCTGTGCAGTAAATCTAAGCTGGTATAAATGCATGTGTAGACATACCCAGTTACTCTCACCACAGCTTTTGCAAGTCTTCCCTCCAACCAGGGGACCTGGAGACTCAGCCTTTTATTTCCCAGTTTAAGGAAAGTCAGAGACTGGGCAGGGGGGCAGGGCTCCGGGCAACCCTCCGACTTCCACATTT